TTAGGGCAACACTTACCTTACAAGTTAATTTCTTTAATTTTTTTCGTAAAAAATATTCTTGCAGAATTTCTTGCGAAAAAATTAGCAGGAAAGTTTCTTGCAAATTTTCCTACGAATTTTTTTTTGCAGGAAACTTTCCTGCAAAATTTTTTTTGCAGAAAACTTTTCTGCAAATTTTTTTCGCAAGAAATTTTGCAAGAAAATTTCCTGTGAATTTTAAAATTTGAAAAAATATATTATCTATGAAGGTAAATAAAATTTCGCAGAAAAATTTGTAAGAACAATGTTTCCTGCGAATTTTTCATAAAAATTTGCAAGAAAATTCGCATGTAATAAGAGAAATTTTAGTAGTGAATATTCATATTTAGTGTCAATTTAGCATTTTTCAATGTTAAAAAAATGAAAAATTCTCAAGAAAATTCGCATGTAATAAGAAAAATTTTAGCAGTGAATATTCATGTTTAGTGTCGATTTAACATTTTTCAATGTCAGAAAAATGTTTATAATAAAATTAAATCTGTTGAAATTTAGAGATAATTCAAAAATCTTGAGTTTCATTGTTTGAAATTGTTCAAGAATATATGTTTGTCATATATTTTGAAAAAGCTAATAATAAATTATGGGCATGCACGAGGATAAGTTTGTCACAATGTAAATTTACTGATTTGCTATCTTGACTGTGCAGAGATGATGAGTTCTAGATTTTTATTATTATTATTACATTATATTTGGTTTTTCTATTCATTCAAAACCTATATAGGTATGACTATATTTTTTGGGTTAAAGTTTTGTCTTGATCGTTATAAGATTTTTTTATATAAATAAATGTCTCCTTCTTTTAAGGAGAAATACATCTTGTCAATTTTTTTTTTAAACACTCTAGCTTCTTGAATCTTATAATCTTACAAGTTCTATGTGTCAGTTTCATTATTATTAGGAAGTCTTTAGTTGTATTTTGAGTTATTTTTGGACTACTCATTATTAGAAAATTGTCATATAAAATACATACACTCTATAATAACATTATATATATCACTAAAAATTATTTTTACTCACACAATAAATATAATATATGTTTGTATATTGTTAAAAAAAATGTGAGTATAGACTATAGTGACACACTATAGTGACACACAAAATATGTTGTTAAATCTCATTTAAAATCAATACTAAAATTGTATATAATTACAAGTCAAATATATATATATATATATAT